TCTTCGTATGACAATAAAGAAACCTTGAATAGAAAAAAAATACTCTAATATCTAATTAGTTGGCGGTCTCTTCTACTTCACATCCTTTTCAGGAAGCCTGACAAGAGCAATCACTGTTTAATTAAAATGTTTTTTATCAACAGTGCACTAACTTTTGACGAAGGGTTCATTTTTAATATGGTGTTTGCTGCCGCGGTTGTTTTTTTCACTTCTGAAATCAATGAAAAATGGAAGTTGTGTACTTTAAAATATCAGTTGCATGTTATTTATATAACTGTGTCCAGCCCAGTTTAATTTAAGGGGCTGAATGTGTCATCAGGAAGAAGACAACTTCACAGGTGATTTTATTGAGAGGCCTTTGTCTGATCCAAAGCCACATATTCAAATTATATAATCTAGTCTGTGTCATTTATAAAATTAGTGACAGTCTCTGCTTTTTTTTTTTTTTTTTTTCACATCAGCTGCTAAATGTAGCTCCGCTCATGGTGTCTGACTGCGAGTGTTCCCCGCATGTGAAATTCAATTATATTTATGTTACTGTGAGTCTCAAGAACCAAACTTACTGTCAGCTTGGAGGATTCAATTAAGCTATATAAAAAAAAAAAAGCAAAATAAGAGACAAAAAGCAAACATAAACTCGTACTTTTTTTGTGCAATGTTAAAAAAAGAAGCTGAACAGTCCTTGTCAGTATTATACAGATTATTAACAATTCACAAGAACCAATAAATTCTCTTTTATGACATCTTTAGAATTACGCTGCTGATGCAATATTATATACATGTTTAAATCAATGCACCCTGTATGCTATTATCTTCAAACAAGGCCATAAAAGTGCAGTTAAAAACACAGTTACTCGCTGTTGTAGACGTCCCAGGATGAGTCAGACTCCATTTTACATCAGAGCCCAGAAGTACTTTCTAAAGTCTAAACATCTGTCAACAGAGAATGAGTCCCCGAGTTGCCATTATCCCCGGATATCATGGGAGATGTTGGAAGGACACCCTGGTTCAGATCCATTATGTCCTGACAGTGTCCCTGTGACTCGAATGAAAATGAGGTGAAATCATGAAGTGAGAAGTGTGGAAATAAAAACA